GGGGGGTCCAACATGGGAGGGCTTCTAATGTCCTGGCCCCACTGGTGGACCTCCTGATGGCACCTGGTATTTCTGGCCACTGTGTGATACAGAGTGTTGGGCTGGATGGGCCTTTGGCCTGATCCAACATTGGCATCTCTTATGTTCTTATGTTCTTAAACACCCTCCCCTTGCCATATCCAGCTTCCTGGGCCTGCTCCAGGCTGGAAAGCCGAGATGCTGTCTGTCCGAATGCCATCGCAGAGAAAAAGAGAGAGGAGGGAAGCGGGGAGGGGGAAGCGGGAAGAGCCGGCGACTACCCTGGGGTAAGGAGCTTAAGGGAAGAAGCAGGGAAAGGGTGAGGAGGGAGGCCCTCTCTTTCTCTCTGGCTCACGCGAGCACGCTTCTCTCCGCTCCCGTCCCGCAGGTGCACCAGCTGAGCTTCAGGGAGGAGGGCGTGGGAGGCGGGCAGCTGAGGAAGGAAGGAATCGAGGCTACGGACCTCGCGGTTAGTCTTGTGTGCCTTGGGCCAGCACACTGGTCTGATCCAGCAGGGCCTCTTTTCCATACAAGCCTCTCCCGAGGGGATTTATCAAGTCCCAGTTCCGTACCCTGGCCATCTCGCCTACAGGACACATTCAGACAACAACCAGAACCATTTATAACTCACAGGCAGTGGAAAACAACCAGAACCATTTATAACTCACAGGCAGGGGAAAACAACAACAACAAAGGGGGTTTATTATCATCGTTGTGGTCGGTGGGTAGACGCCAAGATGGAATGGCTCTCACAGTGGGCAGGACGAACCATACGTTGCCTCGGCAGCAGGGGACCGGGCTGAACACCCCTAGGTGGACAGGGAGGCCGCTCTGCTAACTGGAAAGAGGAGGAGGGTCGCCCCCCCTCCTCAGTTGCTGTGCACCAGAGTGACAAAGAGCGTCAGGGAGCTGAGGGAAAGGAGGCCGGTGATGACCGCTTTGACCAGGAGTGCCGTCCAGCTGCCCAGCAGAAAAACGTGAACAAAAGATCTGGAAAGAAAGAAACAAACAGAGGGAGGCTGGTGAAGGACGAGGGGAGAGACGGCACACGGAGACAACCTCCGGCACTTACACGGGGGTGGAGAGTGAGGTCAAGTCGCAGCCCACTTGCGGCAGCCCTGTGGGGTTTTCAAGGCAAGGGGCGTCCAGAGGTGGTTCGCCATGGCCTGCCTCTGCGTAGCAACCCTGGACCTCCTCGGCGGTCTCCCATCCTGATGAGACTGGGCTATTCCGGCCCACTAACATACCACCCAACCTTAAAAGGGGTCATGCAGACAGCCACACAATACCATTCAAATTATTTTTAAAAAACCAAGACTGGAAGACATGAGGACTTTGGAAGAGGGCGAACTGTGTCCCTCCACTAGCCCCTGTCTGCCATGGGCTCCCTGGCTCAGCTTCCTTCTCCTGAATAGCCCCAAACAATTTTTTTAATTGTTCAGGCAATGTTTCTGCCACTTCTCCAAAATCCTGCTCAAGGGGGCTTAGAAGTAAAAACACTACAGAATAAAATCTTAATAAACAAGCAAGGGGCGTAAAAAGCAGAATAAGCATATCCATAAGACAGAACGCAGACCAGAAGAGAGTTAAGAGACCAACAGTCTCGTGCACTGATCCTTCATATTATACCCGTGGGTACCACAGTGGTCCACCAGCGTATATCCTGGCACTCGCATCCTTCTTCCCAAAAGCATTTCTTCACCCAAGCAAACAGGCTTTGCTCCACCTCATCTGGACAAGGAGGTGACTCAGAAGAACAATAATAATGATGAAAAATTGCTGTGAGTTCACAAATCACAATGAATAGACAATAATAACTAGTACAGAATTGACGCTTGATGATGTTTATAATTTCTATGTTTTCAGAACACAGGACGTCAAATACGGAAGGTGAGCGATACGAACATCTCGAGTGGTTCGTATCGCTCACCTTCCGTATTTGACGTCCTGTGTTCTGAAAACATAGAAATTATAAACATCATCAAGCGTCAATTCTGTACTAGTTATTATTGTCTATTCATTGTGATTTGTGAACTCACAGCAATTTTTCATCATTATTATTGTACTGCTTTGAATTGCTGGTCCCCCTTGTATATATTTGTAGGTGACTCAGAAGAGCCTCAGAGAGACAGTTTGGTGTAGTGGCAAAAATATCAGACGGAGAGCTGAGAGACCCAGGTTCAAATCCCTCTTTCTGCCATGAAAGCTCGCTGGGTGACCTTGGGCCAGTCACACGTTCTCAGCCTCACCTACCCCACAGGGTTGTTGTGAAGATAAAATTGGAGGAGTGGAGAATGACATAAGCGGCTTTGGGTCCCCAGTGGGAACAAAGGTGGGCAGGCCCGTAGCCAGGATTTTTTTTGTTGGTTCGGGGGGATTTAAATTCTAAAGGGAGCAGTTAACTTACAGTTAATTAAATCCGTCTGAATGCCTGTCTTTAAAGGGGGAGGCTCTGAGACTGTTTCTAGCCCTTCCTTTCAAGGGACAGGGAAGCGAGTGCATCAGTTCCTAGGAAAAAACAGCTCAGATAACATTTAATTGCCTTCAGAAGGCATCTAAAGGCCTGTTGAGTTCCCTTCCACAGGGCGAGAAAGCTTAGAAGGGCACTCAAGATTGGCACCTTCAGCACATTTCCAGCGATCCCCCTTTTCTGCCAGCCCCAGTCCTGCTGTATACCACCTAGGTCACGGTGAGTCTTTCGAAAGCATTCCCATGAGCCTTTGGGAAACCTGCAGAAATAAGACTTCTGACCTGGCTATTTGTGGGGGCAAGGCTTTTAATTTTATTTATTTATTTATTTTATTCTATTTATACCCCGCCCTCCCCACAAGTGGGCTCAGGCCGGCTTACAGAACCGGTAAGGGCCCCAAAATGCCCCACGGTGGGATATAAATAAAATAAATAAATAAAAGAAGAACCTGCAGGCATCAACAGGAAGCACCCCCAGGGAGCCAGATGCCATCCACTGGGAACCCCCGAGGAAGACTCTGCAGAGGAAGGCGATGGCAAACCACCTTTGCTTCTCCTCTGCCAGGTCACCATCAGTCCGTTGTGACTTGACAGCCCACGCATACGGATGTCTCTCTCCTCCCTTCTAACACAGAGCCAGGGGCCAGTCCTTGAGCTTTCCCCACCAGGCACTGATCAGACCTGCTTGATTTCAGAAAGGTTGCTACATCCTACGCCTTCAGGCCATACCAGTGTCCCACCTCTGTCTTTCAGGGATGCTGGCTTGTCCTTAAAGGTAAAGGTTCCCTTGCTCGAAAGCCAGTCGAATCCAACTCTAGGGTTGCAGTGCTCATCTCCGTTTCAAAGCCGAAGAGCCAGCACTGTCCGAAGACGTTTCTGTGGTCATGTGGCCGGCATGACTAAACACCAAGGCGCACGGAACGCTGTTACCTTCCCACCGAAGTGGTACCTATTTATCTACTTGCAATTTCTTGCTTTCGAACTGCTAGGTGGACAGGAGCTGGAACTAGAGACGGGAGCTCACTCCGTCATGCGGCACCCGGGTCTCGAACTGCTGAACTACTGACCTTCCACAGCCTGCAGTTCAGCGTCTTAACCACTTGAGTCACCGCAGCTCCTGGCTTGTCCTTACAGAAGCCTTAAACACAAAACACAAGATTCCCCGAAACAAATCCTGGAACACCCCCCACCAGCCTAATGGGCCAATTCACAGACAAACTGATACATTCCCTCCAATCCCACCGCTGCCCAAAAGCAACCAGTCACTCACTCCATGAAGAAAGCTTTGTAGACACTGACACCCAGGAGGAACGTGAGAGGCAGTCGGTAGTGTTT